AAAAAAAAAAAAAATAAATAAATAAATAATAATAATAATAATAATAATAATAATAATAATAATAAATAAATAAATAAAATAAAAAAATAATAATTTAATTCCCATTATTTCAAAAATTTAAGTACAAATATAATAACCTCTCAATCAATATTTTTTTCAGAATCGGGCAATGTCGGGGATAAAGAGTGGTACTTCTTTTGCAAAAGAGGACGAAAATATAGGAACAGCATAAGGCCCAACCGGGTCACGGGCTCGGGTTTTTGGAAAGCAACGGGCATCGACAAGCCCGTTTACTCCTCCGGTAAAGAAGGTGGCCGTGATCGTGTTATCGGCCTAAAAAAGTCCCTCGTTTATTATCGCGGGTCTGCCGGAAAAGGCACCAAGACTGACTGGATGATGCACGAGTTCCGGCTGCCGCCGGCAATCGACGGCAAAACAGCCAAACACGGCACTATGGATGATGTCACTAAAAGCCCTAGTGCCCAAGAAGCTGTAAGTAGCTAAAATTTTTACAAGTAGTATCTAATTCCCTACTATATATATTATTAAAATTTTTCTAATTAATATTATGTGATGGCCTCTTGACAGATAAATATATTTTAATATTTAATGATTTATTAATATTGATGTATTAATTAAATTTTATTATAAGGGAGAATATACATATTTATTTATATATCCAATACATAGAATTTCAAAACAGGCTAAGAAAACTCTAATTTTTTGCTACTAATCAATCACTATTTTATTGTACTCATTCAATTTTACAGGAAGTTTGGACCCTATGCAGAATACTCAAGAGAAACACCTCTCACAAAAAAAGTCTACCCGATTGGCGCGATTCGACTGGCGGGCGAACCACAATCGACCCAATATCCGATTTGGGATCCAAAACGTGCCAAATTTCTCAAAAGAGCTACAATATTTGTTTCGATTCACCAAATGTAAGGCCGACCGGCGGCCAAAAACCGTTAGCGGACATTGCTTATCATGACCAAAACAATGTTCCAATAAATCAACCTTTTCCAACCGGCCAATTTTTTGGCTCGTCGATGGTTTTTACATCTGAAGACCCGTCGGGTGGTTCGTTGTTTTCGGGCTCGATTTGTGGTGAGATGAGTGAGTTCTTGAGGCATGAGGATTGGGGTGGTGACCGTCGTTCGGTCGTGGACTGTGCCAAGGGTGCTATTGGTAATTATCCATTCATATATGAACGTTAATAATGTGACATATTGTGTAGTTAAATAAAAAAAGATCGGTATTAGACTTGGTTGAATCTTGAAATAATTGGTGTAGAAAATGGCTTAATTAAATTTCTCTCTCTTTTTTTTTTTTCCTAGGTTTGAAGTTTATAGTAATGCTAGAGAGGCAATTGTTGGCTCCGCATTACTGTTGAAGTTTACTCGAGTATAGTTGTAATTAAAAGCCACGTTCAACACCATGGTTTGCTGACTAGATATAGGTTTATTGATGGCATGTCAGTTTTCAAATTTTTTCATGATTTTGTTTGGTAGAACTTAATAAAAATTGGGTTATTTGATTATAATTAAAAATACAATTTAAATACAAAGGTTAAAATATGCAAGTTGCCCTCAAATTATTTATAATTAAATGTGATTTATAGAGTGAAAAGACATGTAACTAGATAAATTGAGTTTGAAAATATTTGACTTTTCCAATCATATTTCTAAAAAAAACATGAAATATTACTTCTCTCCGCCTTTGGAGGGCTTTGGAGAGGTACTTGGAAAACAATTCTTTTCCCCTCATTCTCTTCGTAATATTCCATCTAGAGGTACTTGGAAAACAATTCTTTTCACCCTTCTCGTTACCATTCATTCAATCTTAATGTAAAATAAATGATTATGCAATTAATTATCTATATAGTACTTTCAACATCTTAGATGAGATAATCATAATTCACCAAGTTTTACTCGTAATTTTATATTAAGACATTATATTTTAAAATATAAATAAAAATAAAATCATGTTATTAAAAACATATAAGTATTAGACTTTTATCTACACTATTTGTGTTGGTGTGAAACATATATATATATATATGTATGTATTTGCTTCACCCCTAAATATATCCTGGAAGGCACTTATCAATCTTCAATCATATTTATAAATTAGTTCTAGAATTGTGTAATATGTGATCATCATGCTTGAAAATTTCATTGAACCAATTATCAATTAAGCTAACTTTAGAATATGTAAATTGTCAAGCTAAAGTTAACGAAAATTTTCATCTGTGACTAAAAACTCTATAAAATATTTGCGGGAAGTTTTCATCTATAATTGAAATATCTAAAATATTTTAAATGAAGTTGTAGACAGTATAACAATATATTGAAAAAGTTTGGAATATGGCTGAGGTGCCGGATAGAAGAGCTACTTAATTATGTGAACCGACAATTGAAAGTTCCGATCACCGAACAAAGCTAGTAACTTGCAAAATAAGGGCCGGCAGAGATGCGCTCTTATCCGATTGAATTCACATTATACTGTGTTCATATAGTCGCCTTCACTATAAATATTCACAGGCCGCGCTCATACCAGGCGAGATGGATACGAATATAGCAAACTTAAACCGCTCGATCCAACCCATCGAGCCTCCTTGAACAATGTCTAACGCGACCCGTCACGTGGACTAATTTACCAAAATGATACAAATGACCGCTCCATCTAATTAATGTTGGCCTCCGTTTTAACTGTTAAGACCCATTTCGCGTAAAGCTATAAAACTTGGAAACGACCCAAATTAAGCTCATATTTACGACCTACGATGACAACCTGGACCTTCAAACCCACGAACCATGCCCGAGAGGAACTTCGGCCGTTTGACGACCGAACACCACGTAGGTCATCAAACGACCGACCACACACCATCGACCCATCAACAACGGCCTACTGAACGAGATTGCAAATAACCCATGTTAAGAGGATGGCCCAAAAGCTAGTAAGACCAAAATACCAATACGATAAACGACCCAAGTCCTACTAAACGACAAAAATTAGGGAAAAATATATAAATGACCCCTAGTGTAGATATATTTACATAAATACAATCTGTGTGAAACATAATCAAAATATGATTAATTACTGATTTCTTTTACATTTGTACGAGATTTATTTCCAATCAGCAAATTTGTTTCTCTCTCCATATCTTGAAAGTCCTCTCCAAAAGGCGGAATCCCCGAAAAGAAAACGCGCCTTTTCCGCTAAGAAAACGACCAACACATAAAAAGAAAAATAAAGAAGAAACATGACAATCGTGATTACCGATAATTCAGGAATTCACGAATTCATATTTAGAAAACGGGATTATCATCAACGGATTCTTGACATAAATATACATATATATATATATATGGTTGGGTTAATTGTACATATATATACATAAGATAAACAACATATAAGCATATTTTTTGATTCTGCCATAACCCGATAATAGGAGAACAAAGAGTATATATATACATAAAATAAACATGTAAACATTTTTGATTCTGCAATAATCCGATAACAGAACCAAAAAGTGTATATATATACATAAAATAAACAACATATAAACATATTTGATCTTGTAATAAGCTCCTCGCGCGGACGGTTGCGCTACTCGGGGAAGATGGGTGGTTGCCGGAAAGCGGGTTGCGGCTGCTTACTTCTAGGCTGCGGGGTGGGTGGATCTCGGTGATGGCAGCGCATGGCCTTGAAGCTCGCGGCTATTGCTGCTCGGAGAACTTCGGGTCTGAGATTTCCTCGACAAGGGCTTGCTGTGAGGACGCATGTGAAATGCGACGGCGGTAGGGGCTGCTTTGTGAGGGCGAGATGTTGAACGGTGGACAGATCGCGGCGGGTCTACTAGGGTGACGATTTTTTTTTTAATAAGTTGCTCAATGGTGAAAAGAACAGAGAAAGGAGAAAATTTATGCGCAACAAGAAGATGAACGGGGCT